GACGGCTGCGACAGACATTCTTTTGTCCCCATCATTCTGCGCGACAACAGACACCAACGGCAGCCCCTGTCTGCTTTGATATACCGCACGCTTGGAAGGTTGGCCATGGGGTGCGTGGCATCCCTTCTGCCAGACTGTGGCGTGCCCACGGCTAGCCATGTTTGGTCCGCGCCAGCCAACGACTCTCGCAGAGTCGTCCAAAATTAAGTTGTGCGTGTGGGACTCGTGCCGGCATCTGATGCCGCGCGCGTTTCACCACTCGCTTCTACCCACAGTCTGCCTTATGTGGCTCCGGCAGCACACCGACTAGCCACCGTGCCCCCTTCCTGTCCCGCACTTTCCTATCTCTGGCCGTCTTGCCCGGCCAAAGGCATCTCAATTGCATTTTTGCCCGCGGAAGTTTGCGAATCTTCCCGTCTTCTTTTGTTGTTGATCACCCTATGATATATCAGGTTCGAACGGAGGTCGGATGTGGTCACGCCTCCCACGCTGGACCACCCCTTTTGTTCATTGGTTTGTCCACGCCCAATGCCCTTTCAAACCTTCCACCTCAGCGAAGGTACGATCGAATGGCCCATGTGTGACCCGGAACCTCTCGCTTATACCTACACGCACCGCCATGCGTCTGCGTCCTTACACGTACAACTTACTAGAGCGGGCGACCACATTCCTTTCAGATCTCCGTCGATAACACGGACGTCTTTGTGCGATGCTATCGTGCCCGCGTCTCTAGGACTCACCGTTGGAAATGGCAGATTGGTCCCCGTTCATCGGCTGTCTCCCGAGACTGTGGGACGTTAGGGTCCACACCGCACATCACTCACTTATCGCATATCCACCCATCTCACCGCACAATATTTACATTTTCTGCAGAAAGCGCCCACCCAAGTGACTCATTTGGCCGCATTCGAATCATCGCGAAGGTCAGGAACCTCATGCTCTCCTGGTTGCTTTTCAGGGTCCCCTTCGAGTGGAAGGCCCAAGAAGAAGATGACGGTGGGGACGAGCCGGCCAGCCAGAGCGGTCAAACTGCCACCGTCGGCCACGGCTCTGGGCCGATTGGAAGTCGGTCGTTGCCGTAAGGTCGGGCTGGGGCTCCGACTCGCACGACACAGCCCCGAATCATTCCTGCACCCGCTCAACCACCCCCAATTCTTCCTGGAGTCTGGGGGCATGCAGCGTATCCCACAACTCGTTCTCGAACGTGCTTCTCAAGCTGCGCCCGGCCAACACGAGGCATGGACAGGTCCCCAGAATGATCTGCGATGGTCGTGTTTCCCACCCACATCGCGCGTGGGCGCCCTTCCACGCCAGGAATCAAGGTTGATCCAGCATTCCGACTTCACTGTCAATCACCAGGCAGCTGGCCTGACGGATGTCTCGGAACACACTTCCCCTGGCCGTCGGAATGACGTGTTACTGTAGTCACCAAGAATGCCCTGTTGCGGTGACCGCCGCTTATCTCTGGCTGGCTCTCAGGTGACAACCGTGGACGTTCCGTGTGCTCTCGCTTGGTGCAGCTTTTTACGGCCGTTGCACCCACAAGTCAACCGACAAGCGATGGATCGGACAACACAAATCTGTATGTCTTCGATTATCCTGCGCTGTGTTATGGCTGCGCTCTACACTCTCGACGGACTGCACCACTTGGGAAAAAACAGATTCCAGTGGTCGCTCATAGCGTTCCCTCGTCCAGAACACCTTGGTGGCGTCCGTGCTTTGTTCGTTGCGTGCGATACAGCAGCCATGCGGTCCGGTCGCAAGCGACGCATTCGCGTCCTCGAGACGACGGCATTGTTTCCATCTCGTCTCCGTCCTTATTGATGAACTAGTCATTCATTGTTCTACGTCGCCGCCACGAAGCGCCACGGGCGCTTGCTGGTGTACAACGTTGCTTCACCACGTTCACAACAACATCATCTGCTTGTCTCCAGGGCCGTTCATCCAAACAGAACATAAACAAATTACGCGCCATCGCTGAACGCGACTGTTACCTCCTACGACTCTCTAGCCGACTGGACATTGTCCTCTAGACCGATTTCCCACCAACTGCACCACGCTCCCCCAAACTGTAGCCGCTCATTGTATCCTAACTGGCGCCGTCATCCTTGGTGACTGTCTTGGATCTCCCAAACCTGGCTTCTATTGCTAACCGCTCAGCTATGTAGCCGTCGACCGTGTCATATGCCTGTCTGCTGTCTGCGCCGCTGTCCGCGACGCTCGGCGGTCAATGTACGGTCATAAATCATTACCGGTGTCTTATGGCTTTACGGCACCATTTCAGCTAGGTTTCCCCCTATTATCCATCTCGTAGCGCCATCCATAAAAGTCGCCTCCATCTCAGCCTTAGCTCTGTAGTGACCTATGGCTTGACTGCGGCACATAAGGAGTATACTCCCCAGCATCCAATTTGGCGGATAGAACGTTACGCAAGGTTCCTACCCACCATGCCTTCATGGCCACGGTGCCACCCGCCCCACGTTCTTTCCCATAATACGCGCTCCGCGCGTCGCTAGCTCGACTGCAATTGGGTTGCCAGCGGACGTGGACACGGCCTTGCGCGGACGCATCTCAACATCCCGGTTCGCAGTCTCCCGCGGCGCGGTGTCGGCGTTTACCTGCGGGACCATCTGATGGTCTTACCTACCGCGTCGTTCGAGGGCCGTACTATATGGGGATCGCAGGACCAAGTCTGGGCTAGTCCGCTAGTCCGGTGAGGAGACCCTTTTGCATCTAGACTGCAGGGTCGGGCAAGAATCGCTGCTGATCGGTACCGCACTTCTACAGCTGTTCTTCTTCGTGCGATGCTTTGAGCGGGATATATATTAATGCCTCCTTTGTGTCCACTGGCAACCGAGGAACGCGCGGATCCGCGCCTGTCCTGTCAGTTGAGCGGACGTGCCAAGGTCAGTACTGAATGAGTTCCTGCTCCACCGCGACTCACCTGCGACTATGTCAAGCGGGAGAGCGGGCAGTGGCGTGGGCTCAAGCATCGCCGTTCAATACCGTCTCAGATATTACTCCATCAGGTCGTGCAGAGTTTCCAACCGCCGTGGAGTTTGGAGGCGCAGCCAGACGCCTCCGACAGGTGCGCTTGTGGCTCAGGCTCAGGCTCACCGTCCGACGCCAGATGATGGGTAAGCATGTGGAAGAACATCAATGAAGATCCACTCCCATGTCACAGGCCTCAGCTGGGCCGATCCCCCGACTGACCAGTCGCTCTGGCTCCGCTCATCTGCCTGCTTCTGCAGGTGCGTCAAGAATGTGCTGATATAGGTGTACGTCGCCTCTGTTTCGGGCGCGACCTATCTTCAAGAGCGCCCCGCTAAAGTATGTTTGAAGTTCCATGCATCCCTCCCGCATCGTCTGCGCTGATTGCGTCTTTGCGCGACTCTAGGTGCACGTACGCTCGCGCTGTGCTACGGTGGTGCATCATACCCGAGGAACAAAGAAGCCGTCAGGCGCCATTCGGGACAACCGCCTGGAGACACATGTTGGATGCCTGCCCCTCCTGGCTGTGGGCTCTAGTTAGGTCGCCGTCGTCCATGCTTGCGCGACCAGTGTGTTCATCCCTATGGGTACACTCTCGGAGATGTGCACGTGCGGGACACCGACATTTCGTCAAGCCCCTGTTGGCCACATATGAGCGCGCGAGTAGACAGCACCGTAAGCATTCCGGAGGCGAGTCGCTCGGATGAACGTGCTTCCAGCCCCTTATCCGACTTCATTGAAAATCTGGGCACTTGCGTAGGCGTACGTATCGGCCCTAGTTCAACGGACGCGTGCGGGTCTCTTTATCTCTTGACTACCGTTAGTTTATGCCGGTCTGCATCTGACGGCGGTAGAATTGTCGGGCAAGTTGGGACACAATCATTGCGACAGATAGACCGGCAGCCGCCGTCTGCGGCGCCAGCCTGGACAGATTCTCTCCGCGTTCATGTCACTCTCGCCGCGCCCGCGGATAAATCGCTGGTACTGGCAGTAAGGCGTAGCACTCTTTCCGTATCCTTGTGCGATTATCCTTTTTGACTCGTCACGAATGACGATTGTGAGCTGACTAAATTTTAGCTGCGATTGCCACCGATTCATCCACTGCGCAGCCTTGCCGCCACCCAACTCCTTCAGGAACTTCTAAACGGGCGGCATTGTTCAGGTTCTCACGACTCATCCCACAATGGCGTCAAGTATGCGCCGGCCTTGCGCTTTTCCCTCCAGTTGTACCTCTCACCTCTCTGGCGACCGCCCGCTACATGCTGGTATCGCAGGACGCTCCCTCAAACACACACACACCGCGGACGCCGAGCAACTGCGGCTGTGCGGCGTAATTACTGGGAAGTCGAACATCGGCGGAATTGCCTGGTCACCGCGATAGAATTTCTCTCTCGAGCCTTCTCATGCAAGTTGCCCGTTCAGGCGACACCGGCTGACCTCGGGCGTCCGCTATCATACGGAACATACCTGGGCGGTAGGCGTCCTGGAACTTCTAACCTGCGTGGAAGCTGTCTAGCCAATTATATCTATGACCATCCCGTCGGGTCACGTAGAAGAGGGGCTCCAGGCCCACAGAGAAGGATCCCCATTTTGTCAGGTGCCCTTCAGCTGTAGATTATCAGAAGCCCCTCCGCGTAGGTTCAAGGGCCGTTGGCCGCATTCGCGCCGCCAGACAGGCGAACGGAACTGCTCAAGTCATCCCAATTGCCAACGCCATGGAAGGGTGTTCTTGCATGTGCATCAGTGGAGCAGCTAGGTGCATCGCGTGAAAGCCCGCGAAGTAAAGAACATGTCGGTGCCAGAGGCTATTAGAATGAACTTTGGTGTGGGAAATCAATTAAGAAGCCTGAGACTCGCCGCTCGGAGAGCGGGAACCTTCCTTCCTTGATTGTACCTTTGAGGAGAACTCCTGTGTGATCTTGACAGAGGCGTTGTCAGTACCAGTCTACCCATAGAATCAGTTGGGCTGCGGATCGCCTGTAGCAAAAGTGTAACAAGTCACAAAAGAATTCCCACTAGCCGACTTGAACGACTGACCTCATCATTTCATACAAAGGTAAATAGTACTAGTGATGCGCTCTACCACTGAGCTAAGCGGGACTTATAAGTAATTAGCAAGCTCAATAAATATTAGGCATATCTCCTTGGGACCAATGGCCCGGGATTCCGCCGGAAGCGATGGGAAGTGTGGATGCTCCTTTTCGTCTGCTACCATTTTCACGGACCTGCGCCGAAGGGCATTCATGAATCCCTTCTATCACCAGGATGGATCTCGCGACGCTAGCGACATCTTCAGTGGCGTACCATCTGGCTCGCATTCTCAGGGACAGATGAACTTTCAGCCTGGTGTCAATATGGACATGCTCGAGAACCTCCTCATGCAGGACCCTTCGGGAGCGTCGAATCAGCATCAGCAACATTCTCAGCCATCCGCAACACCGCAGGCGCTATTGGAGCATCAGGTCAAGTTCACGCAGTTGCAGCAGTTGCAGCAGCTCCAACAACAGCTACAACAGCAGATTTTCCAGCAGCAGGTACGTTCCCATCCCTATTCCTCGTCTTGGCAGTCAGAGGATGGAGGGTAAGGGAGTGGGTGCAAGGTGGATGGGATGGAGGACTCGGAGAACATTGTTCTGATGTCCATGTTCCATGTCCATCTGCAGCTCGACCTGCTCAGTGGCAGCAGCCCGCTGTATAGTAATGTCTCCTCTGTTATCCATCGCGCCAGGGATACTCCCCAGTTCGGCTTGCCAACCCCAGGTGCGTGCTCAACGTTCATTCTGCCTTGGGTCCTTCTAAAATTGCCAAGTTTCATCTACGGAACTCCGGGCGCAACAAAATACCGACTTCGTATCCCCCATGCTCCTCCACTCGAACGGGGGCACTATGGGCACTATGGCCCAAAATCCGGCACTATTGCCGAACTTTATGTCACAACTACCGCAACATATGCTTCCCTCCGCGCCGCATTCTGCGCCGGCAAATATTGTCTTCCAAAGCCCCGGTTACGCTCTTCCTTCGCCAGGAGATCTGGATCTAAGCGAATTGCCACCCATCTCGAGTCCGATGCTCGACTCCTACCATAACTCTGGCAGCTCGTTCTCCTCCGGAAACTCATCGCAGAACACTGGCCGGTTACGCAGTGGCACCATTGGTTCAAAGCGTCCGAATGCGTCCTCTAGTGGCGACGAGTCAAGTGTTACAAGCAGACCAGCTCGTAAGCGACCCTCGCCTGCGGATAGAAAAACGATCACCGCGTCCTCCAGCGGTAAGAAGACAAATCGTCCTACTCGGTCTGCGACGTCTACTCCGTTGTTCCCGGCTACAGCGCCGTCGTCCGTGAGGCCAAGCCCTGTACAGCGCGGCATGCAGGGCCTGGACATTCCAGGGGACACTCCGTCTCCAGTCGACCCTCCGATGCCGCCACCAGCTCACCCGCCGCTTGACGCACCTCCCTCCGTAATCTCTGACCCGTCCACTTCCTCTACTCCGCCTCCGCCCGCGACTCCGGTCTCGCCCACCGGCGCTACTCAGCCTAGCCAAATTCAGCCAGTCACTCCGGCCCAGATGTTCAAACTCGGCCGACTAGCGGTTGGAAATAATTTAGTTTCCCCGCCGAATACCCAGGAAGGCACGACGGTCGCCAAGCAGAAGGAAGGAAGGCCGACTACTCGGTCTGCGACTGGTGCATCCAAGTCCAAGGCCGCAGACAAGACTGCCGGCGGGCAGCTCATCAGTCCAGCCTTGAAGCCGATCCGTCCAGGTCGGTCCAGTCACTATTCTTCCACAAGCGTCCGCGGTGGAATTTCTAACAATTATCTGTTGTCTCTAGCCGGCAATGCAGTGATGACCCCATCGACCGCATCCCCGAGCACGCCTTTCATGCCGCCGCAGATTCGTAAGTCTTCGCACAAGGCAGCGGAGCAGAAGCGGCGCGATTCGCTGAAGACGTCATTCGACGATTTACGCGTCCTCCTGCCGCCTATACCTCTTCCTTCCGAGGAAGGCTATCCCGACGAACCGATTCCACCCGGTGCTATGCCCCCGCGGGGTCCTCCCAAGGGCAACTCCGAGGGTCCGAACCGTGGCGTGAGCAAGCTGCAGCTCCTGCGTTGTGGGAACGAGTTTATCAAAGTACTCAAGAGCCGCACTGATCGGCGTGACGAGGAAATCACGCGCTTGCGTCAGGAGGTCCGACGTCTGCGTGAGTTGGTTGGTGAGGAGGCTGCGGTCTCACCGGATGGACAGGGCATGATTGATCTGGAGCGCGACCTTGACGAGTGCGAGACGTCCGGTGGTATGTTTGGCCGCGCCATGGCTGGAATCCGGGCGTCATCTATTGTAGAAGGCGACGCGGAGGACGACGGCGATTCCTGATTTCAATGGTAATGCTGACATGTCTGTTCCTCCTCCTGGAGTCGGTTGAAGTCATGGTTTCTTCGATAGAGGGATAGATTTGGATAGATGGTATATAGTGTCTTATAAATAGTACCGCTAGCGTGTTGTATTCTGTATCATGCCCTCCAACCGTATACCCGCGCTGGTCTATGGGCCGTTACTTTCGTCGGGTCCTTAAGCGCCTTTTCGCCTGGTTTTGAACCGCCAAAACGGTGCATGCGTCCCTTGAGTAATGTCCCGACGTTCTTGCAGGTTGAGGCGATGCTTGGGACACGACTCGCGATCATCCCACCAAACCGGCGATCACGATCTCATCGTAGATCCGCCAGTGAAGCCGCCACGTGAAAAGCGGTCACACTAGTCGGTGCCTGTGACAAGTTCGGTTTCGCCGTCAGCGCAACGCGCACTTTTCCTCCGCCCGCCACCAAGCCCGCACAAGACTCATCGCCCGACCCCTCTTAACCGCCGCCGCAATGTCACAGCCAATCCAAGCAAAACACCCGCTGTAAGTCTGGTGATTAAGCGGGAGTAATGGGAGCGGAGTGGGCTTATCATCGCGCGCGCAGGTCGATCGTGTTCTTGCTCCACATCGCGCTCGACATCCCCATGGCCATTCAGGGTCTCTGGTCGCCGCTCAATCTCCCTTTCCTGCAGCTGAACAATACCGCCATGGTCTTCATTAAGGTAATACGCGTTCTAATAACACTACAAACGGCACGTTGATAAGAACTTTGCCGCAGTTATACGCAGCACTTGTCAGCGGCACATGTGTCGCAGCTTTATTGTGCTTCGGTCTCGCCGGTAAGTCACACACACCTCACCTCCGCGCTAATAGTCGGTGACACTGTTGTGTGACACAGAGTTCTTGCCCGGAAAACGCGCTCTGGCCATCGCTTTGTGCATTTATCACGCTACGTGCTCTACGGTCCTCTTCAACGCACCTCGGTTCATCCCGCATTCCTTCGGATCGCTTGCTGAGTCGTAAGTGTCGTTGTCTGATAATACGTTTCTGCAATGCACTCACTTACTTACCTTATTGTCTCGCAGATGGCGTGCGACTCCCGAGGTCGTCTGGGGAACGCTCCATGGTCTTGTTGGCCTCGGCTTCGCCGTCTGGTGGCAGGCAACGGTGCATATCGCCGCCGCCGCCGCACAGATCAACAGAGCGAAGTGATAGTTCTGGCTGCATCGTGCTTCCTGCATGCCACCTGTTCACTTTCCAGTAGGTCATCATTGTCAATTCAAGGCTCTGCCTACGTAGACCTTGATTACCCGTCTTGCCAATGAATCGCTGGTTTGTAGCAAACAGACGGACCGCTGGGGAGCATGGAGCACGGTTGACGTGTCCCTTGTGCATATGGTGTGAGATCTTCTATGATAGTCGGTCGACTATCCCACGTTATCGTTGCATGTTGTGCACTCCCCCAGATGTACGGTCCAGGTTATTAACCGCTGTCCTAGGTGGTCGACCCATAAGTTTCTCGTACAACGCTGCAGGGTGGTCCAATTACATGTAGCCTTGTTGGATTGAATGATCTCTTCTGCATGTATGGTACCCCTCCACCGATGCGATCGCTGATTCCATCGGTAGGATTAATGCGGTGGTGTGTGCTTCGAGGAGTTAGTCGCACGCAAACGTAGTCTTTCCACAGCGTGTCCGCTACCACAGGAGATAAAGAACCTCGATTAAGTAGCGTCCAGAAGATGTGTGTTGAGCTCACTATCAGGGCACGCACTCGACGAACAGAATAGGGGCCGCGGTCCGCATACCCACAGGAAGCCGGCCGTTATTCATCGCACCCACATGCGTGTATCCACAGCCATCCTTCCGCGAGCATTCTCCGTCGGCTTCTCGGACCCGTGTCTACCGGACGTGGCACTTCATGGGCAGGCACCGCGCGCAGGGATGCGGGTCGCGGGACGATTGGTGTCATTAAAGGTCCTGGAACCCACGCTTCGCACTGCGTATAACTTATTCGTTCCGACCCGGTTCCGGATCCTGTTGCTATTGCGTCCGAGCCGAGTCGGGATCTTGCGTGCATTCTTCAGCGGGTGCAGTGAGATGGCATAGAGCTTCCCCTTTTCCGGCGATGCGACGGTGGAGGTAGGACCGCAACGCCGGTGTATCAAGCTGCAGGTTCCTCGTGCCTTGTGCTAAAGAATTTACGGAGAAAATTAGTGATCAATGGAGGCTTCGTCTACGCCCGACGGACATTGGGCATTTGTGTTTGCTTGACAACTCGGGGCCGGTCATTTCACGGTGTGCCCGTCCTTTGTGACGATCATAACGGCCAATAGTTCGAGTCAAAGCTGTACGCACAGCGGGACCGTTTGATCCACAACTATTATCCGCACAAGATCTAGAGTTCCGTCACCGCCCAACTTATATTCAGGCGACTCGTGACCACATCCGTACGCGCATCTATTTACCGCCCCACTGTGCCACTTATCATCGGTCATCTAGACTCTTCGTCTTCCTCCTTCTCCAGGCCAGTGCACACCTGTGGTCAATCAGTATCACCTTTGGGATATAAATACTTATTCGCTTGACTCTTCGTCTCACAGACCAAGCTGGCGACCGGTGCTCAATACACGGTTGTCGCCGCTAGTGTCGTCGCCGCTTACCCCGAGAAGCAGTGCGTCTCCGCATTAATCACGAGCACTCGAGTGGTGGTTCCATGGTCAGCGCCACAGCGCTCGCA